ACGAAAGCTTCAAATCGTCGGCACGGTGTGAACAGTCTGACAAACATCAACAAACATCGGGGAAACGGGCACGCGGCCCCCACTTGCGGCGCTGTACTAATTTGCCAATGTTGACATTTCCAGGGGCTGCCGGCGAGAAGTGTTTGGTTGGCAAGGGGTCTGGGGTCGGCTGAAGTGCCCGGGGGGGGGGGTCCAGATTGGGGCCGTGAGAGCGCTCAGATGACAGCGGTTGTGGCAGAGTGGTGAGCCCCCAGCCTGCTGTCTCGAGAGAGCCCTGCTGCTGCTGCTGCTTCATGCTGCCTCTGCTGCTACTGCTGCTTCTGCTACGGCTGCTGCTTCTGCTGCTGCTGCTGTTTCTGCTGCTGCTGCTTCTGCTGCTAATGCTGCTGCTGCTTCTGCTGCCTCTGCTACTGCTGCTGCTTCTGCCTGCTGCTTCTGCTGCCTCTGCTGCTACTGCTGCTTCTGCTACGGCTGCTGCTTCTGCTGCTGCTGCTGTTTCTGCTGCATTCTGCTGCTTCTGCTGCTTCTGCTGCTGCTGCGTTTCTGCTGCTTCTGCTGCTTCTGCTGCTGCTTCTGCTGCTGCTTCTGCTGCTGCTTCTGCTGCTTCTGCTTCTGCTGCTGCTGCTTCTGCTGCTGCTGCTTCGCTGCTGCTTCTGCTGCTGCTGCTTCTGCTGCTGCTGCTTCTGCTGCTGCTTCTGCTTCTGCTGCTGCTGCTGCTGCTGCTGCTGCTGCTGCTTTCTGCTCTGGCTGCTTCGGGCATTCTGCTGCTGCGGTCTGCTGCTGCTTCTGCTCTGCTGCGGCCTTCTTCTGCTGCTGCTGCTTCTGCTGCTGCTTCTGCTTCTGCTGCTGCTTCTTCTGCTGCTGCTTCTGCTTCTTGCTGCTTCTGCTGTGCTGCTTCTGCTGCTGCTGCTTCTGCTGCTCGTGCTTCTGCTGCTGCTGCTGTTCTGCTGCTGCTTCTGCTGCTGCTGCTGATTCTGCTGCTTCCTGCTGCTGCTGCTTCTGCTGCTTCTGCTGCTGCTTCTGCTGCTGCTGTTTCTGCTGCTGCTGTTTCTGCTGCTGCTGTTTCTGCTGCTGCTGCTTCTGCTGCTGCTTCTGCTGCTGCTGTTTGCTGCTGGTTGCTGCTGCCTTCTGCTGCTGTTTCTGCTGCTGCTGTTTTCTGTTGCTGCTGCTTCTGCTGTTGCTGCTGCTTCTGCTGCTGTTGCTGCTGTTGCTGCTGCTTCTGCTGCTGCTTCTGCTGCTGCTGTTTCTGCTGCTGACTGCTACTGCTGCTGCTGTTTCTGCTGCTGCTGTTTTCTGCTGCTGCTTCTGCTGCTGCTGCTTCTGCTGCTGCTTCTGCTGCTGCTGATTCTCCTGCTGCTGCTGCTTCTGCTGCTTCTGCTGTTGCTGCTGCTGCTTCTGCTTCTGCTGCTTCTGCTGCTGCTGTTGCTTCTGCTGCTGCTGCTTCTGCTGCTTTCGCCTTTGTCTGCTGCTGCTTCTGCTGCTGCTGCTGCTTTTGCTTCTGCTGCTGCTGCTTCTGCTGCTGCTTCTGCTGCTGATTCTGCTGCGCTTCTAGTGCTGCTGCTACTGCTACTGCTTCTGCTGCTTCTGTTGCTGCTGCTTCTGCTGCTGCTTCTGCTGCTGCTGCTGCTTCTGCTGCTGCTTCTGCTTCTGCTGCTGCTTCTGCTTCTGCTGCTGCTTCTGCTGCTGCTTCTTCTGCTGCTGCTGCTTCTGCTGCTGCTTCTGCTGTTGCTGCTTCTGATGCTGCGTCTGCTGCTGCTGCTGCTTCTGCCTGCTGCTGCTGCTGTTTCTGCTTCTGATGCTGCGTCTGCTGCTGCTGCTTCTGCTGCTGCTTCTGATTCTGCTGATGCTGCTGCTTCTGCTGTTGCTGCTTCTGCTTCTTCTGCTGCTGCTGCTTCTGATGCTGCGTCTGCTGCTGCTGCTGCTTCTGCTGCTGCTGCTTCTGATGCTGCGTCTGCTGCTGCTGCTTCTGCTGCTTCCGCCTTTGTCTGCTTCTGCTGCTGCTGCTTCTGCTGCTGCTTCTGCTGCTGCTGCTTTTGCTTCTACTGATTCTGCTGCTTCTAGTGCTGCTTCTGCCTTGCTGCGACTGCGTCTGCTGCTTCTTCTGCTTCTACTGCTGCTTCCGCTGCTGCTTCTGTTACGTTTGCTGTTGCTGTCGCGTCTGATGCTGCTTCTGCTGCTACTGTGCTTCTGCTGATTCTGCTGCTGTTGCTTCTCCTGCTGCCTCTGTTGCTGCTTCTTCTGCTGTTGCTGCCGATTCTGCTTCTTCTGCTGCTGATTCTGCTTCTTCTGCTGCTGCTGCTTCTGCTGATTCTACTTTTGCTGTTGCGTCTGACGCTGCTTCTGCTACTGTTGCTTTTGCTTCTTGCTGCTTCTGCTGCTTCTACTGCTGCTGATTCTGCTTTTGCTGATTATGCTGCTTCTGCTGCTGCGTTTGCTGCTGCTGTTGCTTCTGCTGCATTTCGCTTGTGCAGATCACACGGGCGGGTTTGAAGGGGAAAGCGTTCACGGCCCGAGGTGCAGTGAGTAAAATAAATAAAGGAACGTCACGGAATTCAGGGCAAGGTCACGGGGAGAAAAGAAACGTAGGGGGAGAGGGGGATGGCAGTGACTCACCTAAAAGGTTATATTCTGTGTTTGTTGTTTAAAATGGCGTCTTTATTCTCAGATGCTACGTAAAGTCAACACGAACGCAATGAATGTTTTCAACGCAGACACGATGGGATTTTGAATCGATTCTTTCCGATGGAGGCTGCTTTAAGCTTAGCTTCGGAGATTCCGACGGGTGTGCACGCAGCTGCATATACCAATTACACTTTAACTTCAACAGTAAATCAAGGGCATGCATTTAAAAAAAAACTATATATTATAGCTGCGATCACGGGGGAAGTTAATTAGAAGTAAATTTAAGCTCAAACATCACGTTAATTGGCGTGGCGTGATCGACAGTGTGCTTCTGCCGTGCGGTTCGTTTGTAAATCCGTCGTCGTTGTACTAATGTCAGTGATTATAGCGCTCACGATTGTGAAATGAGGGAATTTTATCGATAACATTTTTTTGTATCAATAAGGAAGATTCAAAAATCGAGTCATCGTGATGCTGGCAGTGGCGCACGGAACAAAGAACGGCAACTGAACGTCTGGCTTGGAAAACTCGCCTCGTAAGCCTTTACCCCCCGTAGTTGTAGCCGCTCTCCCTGCAGGCTCTGAGTGTTTGAGTGGGAGAGTCAGTAGACGAGGGAGTGAGTGGGCGAGTGAGTGGGATGAATGAGTAGGTGAGTGGGTGGGTGGGTGAGTGTGTGTGTGAGTGAGTGAGTGGGTGAGTGAGTGAGTGGGTGAGTGTGTGTGTGAGTGAGTGGGTGAGTGAGTGAGTGGGTGACGGAGTAGGTCAGTGAGTGAGGGAGTGTGTGTGTGAGTGTGTGAGTGAGTGAGTGGGTGAGGGAGTAGGTGGAGTGAGTGAGTGGGTGAGGGAGTAGGTGAGTGAGTAGGTGAGGGAGTAGGTGAGTGAGTGAGTGAGTGTATGAGTGAGTGGGTGGGTGGGCGAAGGAGTAGGTGAGTGAGTGTGTGAGTGAGTGGGTGGGTGAGGGAGTAGGTGAGTGAGTGAGCATGTGAGTGAGTGGATGAAGGAGTGTGTGTGTGAGTGGGTGGGGGAGTACGCAAGCGAGTGTGTGAGTGAGTGTGTGAGTGAATAGGTGAGTGAGCAGATGGTAATATTTCCCCTCTCCACTCTCTCCTCTCCCACTCCCTCCACCCCCTCCACTCCGTTCCACCCTCCACCCCCTCCCGCTGGGAAATCCACAACACCCTCCGAGTGTTCGCACCCCCAGAGTCTCCGATGCAGAGTGGTGGTGGTGGTGGTTGTGCTGGCGACCCAGTAGTCAAGGCGCTGTCCCTGGTGCTGAGATGCAATGATTGACAAGGTCACCACTGGGGCGTTTATTTGTCGTAGTAATATTATCATGTAATGCATTACCGAGGTCTACCCAAGGAAGTCTTATTGAATTTCGATTTAAAGCTTTCGTGACTGCAGGGATTCATCTTGTTGGTTCTTTCGGTAAAGTCACGTAGAAGGGAAGTAATAAAATAATAAAAATAAAATATAATAAAATAATTCGACTCGTCCTGAGGACGGCTGCTTGCGTTGTGGCCGAAACGTCGTGAGAATTATTTTATTATGTTGAGGACGGCTGCTTGCGTTGTGGCCGAAACGTCGTGAGAATTATTTTATTATGTTTTATTTTTATTATTTTATTACTTCCCTTCTACGTGACTTTACCGAAAGAACCAAGAAGAAGTCTTATTGAGTCTCGTGGCTTTTTTTAGCAGGGAGGGGGGGAGGGGGATCCTGCCAAGTTTTGGCAGTTGGGATCGATCATTATCATTGCTGCTGCCGTACGTGATACCAATCTCAGTAATTGTGGTGGAGTTTTTCAAACGTTTGCAAAACAATTGAAGCGTGACTTTGGCACATCAGTGGCCTTGCCAATTGGCGTCACGGGATCTTGAACCTCCACCGTCAGTGTTAGCGGATGGGACGTAGTGTCACGGTGGTTATTCCACAGACTGCCGTCCACAGGCTTTTGGGGTAAGTGCTGTTGGCGAGCGCCTATGAAGGCCGGAAGAGCGCACGAGGGGGTCGTGAGGACAGAAACACGCCCGGCCGCCTTTGTCTCCCCAGTGCTGATGTTTAACTCGCCGCACCGGATACTCATTTAGGGCTAAGTCGATCTATGGACCGGTTCAGATATTCGTCACTGATGCTGTTAGCGAGCACTTACGGAGGACGAAACGGCGCACTTGGGAGTGTTCCGGACAGCAACACGCTTGGCCGTCTTTGTCTCCCCAGTGCTGATGTTTTTTCTCACCGCAACCAGGAAAAGTGGACCTAGGGCCCAGTTCACATATTCGTCACTGACGTTGGCTTTGAACGGGAATCGAACTCGGGTCGCCGGCATCGAGGCGTGGTGCGCCATAATCACGATGCGATCGCTCCCCGGTGTTAACCAGGGCGGCCGCCGGAGTCGAACCGTGAATCTTCGACGATAAGCGGCGGGCGCGCCAACCGCTGGGGCCTGCGTCAGCGGCAGCAACGGGCGTAACGGTGACGACGCATCGACGATTAATCGATTATTTAGCTCGCGACGCGCGGTGTCGAGTGGCGCGAGAACTCCACGTGTTTCGTGACGCGTCCGTTGCGCGTCACGCGATCCACCCTGCAGCCACTCGAGGCCGCTAAGATCACAGCAATCGTGAGAATCGATTATCGAATCGAATCGTCATTTATTGACGACAATCATTCGCAGCGCCGTTGTATCATAGACACGTGCTATGGGTACAAATGTTTGCTCCTTGCTAATACATTAATTTAAGCAATGGGGAGCGGTGGCGCAGTGCTTAGCGCGCTGCGCAATTAACCCGGTGACCCGGCTTTGATTATCTGAACCGGTCCTGGTCCACCGGTAGGTCGACTCGGCCTCAAATGAGCGCCTGGTGCGGTATGTAGTAAACATCGCCGCAAGGGATACAAAGGCGACCGGGCGTGGCGTTGACCACCCACCCCCTCGTTGTGTCGCGTCGGCCTTTCTTAGGCGCTGCTCGCTAACAGCACTTGCCCCAAACAGTGCGTTAAAGAGGCTTCACGGGGGGTCTTTGTCGCGCGTGCGTGTGTGTGCGTGCGTGTGCGTGCGTGTGCGCGTGCATGTGCGCGTGCGCGTGCATGCGCGCGCAGTAGCTTAGCAGCCTCGGCGTGGCCGCTCCACGAACACCGCATCAATATTTTACGCTCTCTCTCTGACGTTCAAGTGCCTAATGATCGCGCTTGCGTAACGCGCGTTTCAAAGGTCACTCGAACGCACCTCGGGAGGGCACGCACGCGCGCACGCACCCCCTACACAGACGGATACAGAGACAAAGACCTCCCCCCACCCGTCTCCTCCTTACCCCCGCGTAGCCTCACAACAGATTGGTGGGGCACAGTGGTGGCTACGCTGCATGTCATCGCTGCTGCTGCTGCTGTTGCTGCTGTGGAGGCAGTAGCAGCAGCAGCAGCGAGAGATTCGTTGGATCACGGCACAGCTACCCTGGCTCGCCAGGAGAAGGCGGTACAAGCCGCGGTGCCGACTAATCGCCGTCTGTTTCCATCCGTGCGGGGGCTGCAGTTTTATTTCACCCCGTGCGAGCTTTCTCCGGGTGCCTCAAGTGTCCTCCCCACTCGCATCGACACTCGTCACTCGCTGGTCGAAGAAACATTTTTTTTAAAAATTCCAAACGTGGCAGCACCGTCGTGAATAAAAAGACGAATTCCCGTGAACGAGCTCCGGCGAAGGTCAACGCGGCACACGAGGAGGGGGTGGGCGCGGCCAGCACCGGCCGCCTGTCACTCATCGCACCGGGCGTCTCTCTCTCTCTCTGTGCCTACTTAATGCTGAGTCGACCTTGGGGAGGGCGCATAACCGGTTGAGATCATCGCCAATGGGGTTGGCCGTGAGCGAGAATCGAACTCGTGTCGCCGGGTGTTGTAGCGCAGCGCGCCGACCGCTTCGCCACTGACCCATAACAAAGACAAAGATCCCCCATATAACCTGTAGCAGACTGTAGGGGCAAGTGCTGTTTGCGAGCACCTATGATGGCCGGCACGGCACACGAAGGGGTGGGTGGCCAGCACCGCGCCGAATTTGTCTCCCTAGTGGCGATGTTTACTCCACACCGCACCAGGCACTCAATTTTGAGGCCGAGTCGACCTAGGGGAGGCTCAGGACCGGTTCAGATAATCGTCACTGGTGTTGGCCGTGAGCGGGAATCGAACCCGGGTAGCCAGGTTCATAGCGAAGCGTAGCTGGCAGGAGGTCACGGGGCAGACCCAGCAGGTGCCACGGGTCGACTGACTGAAAGGACTGAGATGACTGGCTGATGCACCACTGTGCCCCCTACTGTGCCAACTTGCTGTGCTTTAGCCACCCGGCGCTCCGCTCGTTATTGTGAGTGTCGCTCCTCCGCCCTCTGTTGTTGTTGGAGGGCGACTGCCTCCAACGGCCCAGTAGCGTCCTTCACGAGCCTCTTCCACAGAGGCCGATCATGACACCGCTGGTACCAGTCATCGGCAAGTCCACTCCGCTCCACGTCTTCCTATACCACATCACTCCATCTCTTCTCTATCCCGTGCCGCGCCCGTCTAGCCCACTCGATCCGGCCGAACAAAAGCTGTTTAGGCATGCGGTGGCTGGGCATTCGGGATCCATGACCCAGCCAACGAAGACTTGCCTGCCGGAGGAGCTCACAGGAGACACACACACACTGACACACACGACACACACTGACACACACGACACTCACACACTGACACACACACACACACTGACACACACGACACACACACTGACACACTCGACACACACACACACTGACACACACGACACACACACTCACACACTGACACACACACACACTGACACACACGACACACACTGACACACACACACACTGACACACACACACACACTCACACACTGACACACACACACACTGACACACACGACACACACACACACTGACAGACACGACACACACACACTGACACACACGACACTCACACACTGACACACACACACTGACACACACGACACACACACACTGACACACACGACACACACACACTGACACACACGACACACACACACTCGGGCAGTCGCAGCAGAGACAATCTGAACGAGCTGAAGAGGGCGGCAGAAAGTCAGTGACTGCGCACAAAGTCGTTTTGGGCAGAAAACACACAGAGGGCGAAACGCATTTGGGGTCATGCAACCAACAGCAGCTGTTCGGGTGGTGGGGAGCGGTGGTGCAGCGGTTAGCCCGCGCTACGCTATGAGTTCGATTCCCGGCCCACGGCCAACACCAGTTGACGATTATCTCAACCGGCCCTGGACCTCCCTTGGGTCGACTCAGCCTCCAATCAGTACCTGGTCCGCGGTGCGTAAACATCGGGGAGACAAAGGCGGCCGGGCGTGGTGCTGGCCAACCACCCTCTCGTGTGCCGTGCCGGCCTTCATAGGTGCTACTCGCTAACAGCACTTGCCCCAACAGTCTGTCGAAGGTTATACGGGGGATCTTTGTCTTTGTTTGATGGTGGTGATAGTGGTGGTGGTGGACGGGGTGATGGTTGGTGGTGGTGGTGGTGGTGGACGGGGGTGATGGTTGGTGGTGGTGGTTGTGGTGGTGGTGGACGGGGGTGATGGTTGGTGGTTGTGGTGGTTGTGGTGGTGGTGGACGGGGTTGATGGTTGGTGGTGGTGGTGGTTGTGGTGGTGGTGGTGGTGGTGGACGGGGGTGATGGTTGGTGGTTGTGGTGGTTGTGGTGGTGGTGGACGGGGTTGATGGTGGTGGTTGTGGTGGTGGTGGTGGACGGGGGTGATGGTTGGTGGTTGTGGTGGTTGTGGTGGTGGTGGACGGGGTTGATGGTGGTGGTTGTGGTGGTGGTGGTGGACGGGGTGATGGTTGGTGGTGGTGGTGGTGGTGGACGGGGGTGATGGTTGGTAGTGGTTTGTGGTGGTAGTTTGTGGTGGTGGTTTGTGGTGGTGGTGGACGAGGGTGATGGTTGTTGTTGTTGTTGGTGGTGGTGGTGGTGGAACAAACCAGACAAAACCCCCGGCAAGGACCACACGAGCGACAAGCAGCAGCGAATACGTCCACTCCGATGTGCGGGGAGTGGGGGTGTAGGGGGTGGGGGTGTAGGGGGTGGGGGTGTAGGAGGTGGGGGTGTAGGGGGTGGGGGTGTAGGGGGTGGGGGTGTAGGAGGTGGGGGTGTAGGGGGTGGGGGTGGGGGTGTAGGGGGTGGGGGTGTAGGAGGTGGGGGTGTAGGGGGTGGGGGTGGGGGTGTGTAGGGGGTGGGGGTGTAGGAGGTGGGGGTGTAGGAGGTGGGGGTGTAGGGGGTGGGGGTGGGGGTGTAGGGGGTGGGGGTGTCACCGTTGTAATTCACGGCGAGAGACAAGGGACAGGAGACAGGGGAGCTCCTCCGGTATCGATCTCTCGGCAAATCGGCTCCTGTGGAAAACGTATTAACCGTCCGACGCACGTGTCCAATCTGTTGTTGTTGTTGTTGATTCTCTGTTGTTTACGGCCCCCCTTCGCGGGGGTGGGGCAATTAGACGGTAGCAGAGGGTTCACTCTAGCCTCGAGCAGGAAGGAGGTTCGGCCAAAGCGGCAGATCCGTGGTGGAGGCGGTGGGTGTCAGGAACATATCCCGATCCATCCAACACCAACCGCAAGCAATTGTCTGTTGTTGTTATTGATATTTGCTGGAGGAAACGCGTCCATTGTTTTGTGTGTAGTTAACGTACTGGGGGGGGGGGGCTTGTTTTAAGTGCTCGACATATCGGGACTGGTCGTTCAAGCCCAACCTCACTACCCTCCAACCTGACCCCTGCACCCCAACTCCACCCCCCCCCCCCCCCCCCCCCCCCCCCCCCCCCCCCCCCCCCCCCCCCCCACATTCGTCAATAACACTGTGGCTTTAAAAAATAAATATACATACGGGGAGACGTTCTGGACTAATGGTCCTTCTATTGAGCCAATTATTGGACTGTGCACGTGTTACTGACTTGTGAACACTGCTTGCGCATCGCTACCAACGCAGCAGCAGCACCGGATAATTCGTTCGTTTCGTGCGTAGACGTGTGGCTGACGTTTCGGGCAATGGCCCTCTTTTCACGGCACGCAGAGAGAGGCTTAGAGAGGTAGAGCGATGAGTTTGTTGTTGTTGTTGTTGTTTGTGCTCGTGCACAACTGCCAATGCGTCGTCACCAAATACTCGCATCTCTCGCCTAATACTCCATCGGGATTGACGCTCGCGTTATCTTTTCTGGAGGCAGTGGATTGAGGCGAGAGACACCCGCAGCTGCGCGATCTTATCAATTGGGCCGGAGACGCCGAGACATTTGAAATCCTTGAGAGCAGATTTAACGCCTCAAAATAACATTCCCCGAATCAATTTATTGAAAAGGCTAAGCCCATCCACCTCCCCCGCCACTCCCTCCGATGAAAAATGTTTATTGGGTACATTATGCTGAAAAGGAAGAACTTAATTTGATGACAATGTTATAATATCATTTCGTGGCAACCGTACGAATGTCATAGCTGGCCCTACCGCAGAGGGCATCAATTCGAGTCAGGCTCATTTGTTTTACTGCCTGAGAAGTCAAGAGGTTAGGGAAGCCCCCCCCCCCCCCCCATTGGCACTGAGATGTACACGTGTGTGTGCGTGTGTGGACAGCAAGTATGCAGATAGAAATCACATAGGCCTTTGTGTCTCGAGAGACAATTCTTTTGCGCCTTACGAGGTCAGCTGTAGATTTTGCAGCGCCTACAATGACTTAGTAGGCCAATCCTTGAGGGGCAATCATTGCCACAGCAATTGCAAGTGAATGCGGTGGCAGCTCCAGAGGTGTTTGTTGCTTTTTCTTTACGTCGCTCCCTCTTGGTCTGCCAAGCAGTGTGTCTTTTCTCCTCACCTCTCCTGAGGCCTGTTTTCACAGCCTGCTGCCAGCTGAGTCGGTCACCGGCAGTTTTCTCCCAGTCATTTGGGTTGATGTCGCAGCTCTTCATGTCCCATTTACAGACATCTTTGAAGTGCTGGACCGGGCGACCAGTGACCCGTGTGCCTGATGCCAGCTCGCCGTACGAGACATCGTTGGGTATTCTGCCATCCTGCATGCGGCGCACGTGTCCAAGCCATCTCAGGCGCCTATGACTGAGTCGAGAGTACATGCTGGGAATGTTGGCCATGTTGAGGACTGAGGTGTTGGGAATGCGATCTTGCCATCTGATACCGAGGATGCGCCTGAGACATCAGAGGTGGAATGTGTTTAGTCGATATTCTTGATGGGCGTATGTTGTCCAGAACTCAGATCCATAGAGGAGGGTGCTAAGGACGCAGGCCCGGTACATCTTAACTTTGGTGTTGAGAGTTAGGGATTTGTTCTCCCACACTCTTTTGGTCAACATGAACATAGCTGCAGACGCCTTCCCAATGCGCTTGTCAATCTCTGTGACAAGAGACTAATTGCAGGTGATGGTGGAGCCCAAGTAGGTGAAGTCCTGAACGATTTCTAGGGTGTATCTGCCAATGTTTATGGAAGGGGTGTCTCTGACATCCTGGCCCATGACATTGGTCTTTTTCAGACTGACTGGCAGGCCAAAGTTGTTGCAGGCATTGGCAAGGTGGTCGATGAGTGTCTGCAGACCTTGTTCTGTGTGAGCTGTCAGCGCGGCATCATCAGCAAATAGGAGTTCTCTGATGATGACTTTGCGGACTTTGGTTTTGGATCTGAGACGGCCAAGATTGAAGAGTTGCCATCAGATCTTGTATGGAGAGAGACTCCCTCTTCTGCTGTCCCAAAGGCATGTGTGAGCATAAGTGAGAAAAAGATGCCAAACAGTGTTGGGGAAAGCACGCACCCCTGCCTTACACCTCTGAGTATGTGAAATTCCTCTGAGGTGGTGCCGCTGTGCTGTGTTGTTCCTTTCGTGTTGTCATGGAAAGAGGAGATGACTGCCAGCAGCTTCGGTGGGCAGCCGATCACTTTGAAAAGTTTGAAGAGGCCTCTCCTACTGATGAGGTCAAAGGCTTTCGTAAGATCAATGAATGCCAAGTACAGGGCACTCTCTGTTCTCGGCATTTCTCCTGTAGCTGACGCAATGAAAAGAGCATGTCAATTGTGGACCTTCCTGCTCTGAAGCCACACTGAGCCTCAGGATACGTCCTCTCAGCTAGTATCTGTAACCTGCTGAGGACCACACGGGCAAAGGTTTTCCCCACAATGCTCAGCAGGGAGATGCCACGGTAGTTATTGCAGTCCCCACGGCCACCCTTGTTTTTATATAGGGTGATGATGTTGGAGTCTCGCATGTCTTGAGGCCAGAAGCAGCGAGCAGTCTCATTAGCAGAATCCACTCGGAGCCTGAAGTCGGTGGTTCTATCATGCCACGGAGTGTGCTTTTGACAGCGAACCCAACACCGTGTTGCCTTGGTTCATTCTGCTGTTTTCCTTGCCAGTAGAAAGTGTAGTCACTCTCTCGTAGTGAGCCACTGCCAGCAAGCCGGGTCTCCTGCAGTGCTGCAATATCCACATGAAGTCTCGCCAGCTCCCTGTCGATAACTGCAGTCTTGCGGATGTCCTCAATCTGCAATAGATCTTCGGAGAGTCCAGAACACATTGTACGTACATTCCAGCTTGCAACATGAAGGGCTGGAACCTTCTTTCGTTTTGTTTTGCTTTTGTCTGGTGCAGGTGTTGCAGCCCACTCGTCTGCTGATGAACCATAAGCTCCAAGTACCCATTGGAGCAGGTGAGCCGTGGCGGGGAAAGCACCTGATTGGCCGGGGGCTGCCCAGCTTGAGGCGGGTGGTGGTAGCTATCCATTGGGGTGCAATGACCCCTCCTCCCACCGACGATGGCAACCCGTGGCGCCCATTTTTTTACGCCAATCTAAAATGAGCTTATAACCCGTGACTGCTGCCGTCCGTGTTTCTTGGCCACAATTAGGTGGCCGAGCAGTGTCCTCTCCCCATGTTTGCACCTCTTGTTGGCGCAAAGCCCGGGCAGGTTTATTCTGTAAATCCTGGGTTGCCCATGCGTCAGGATCCCCTCCTCGGCCTTGCTGGTGAGGTCCAAAGGAGGAGTGCGTAGCACGCGTTCGGTACCAGTTTGGCTGCAGGGGCTGCCGGGAATGTGCCGCAGTGCGTCACAAAACCGCCTGAGAGGCCCCACTCGTGATTTTCTGTCGGGGTTTACTCCCTTAGCCATTGACTCTCCCGAGACACTCACAAGGCAGTGAGAAAACCGCGTAATCCTGGGAGAGGCCCTTACAGGTACTGACAGCTGGGCCAGCTGTGCCTGGGACTCGCGTAAGGCAGCGTCGTCACGCCCGGAGGTAGTTTATCACAAACTACCCGCTACCCCAAAATAGAAATCAAATAGAAATCAGGGTAACATCAACTGTGTTATCAGAGGAACCTACCTACAGCACTGCACGAATATAAATCAACATCTCCCGTCATGAGAGGTTCGCCGGTTATTTATTATTTTAAAACCGTTCAATTAAGTTACCAAACAAACGACTGTAACCTATTCAGGGTGATGTATGTAGAACAACCAGGCCTGGACACATGACAGGATCAATATATGACAGGATTAATGGCAGGGTTAGTATGTGGGAAACAGTCCCGCCTACCGCGGTTTCATCATCCCCGAGCCGACGACCAGGTTACCCACAATGCACTACACAATGATCTATTGTTGTCAGTACAATCTCAGAAGCTAAGCGAGTTTGAGTCGTATTGCGCTTGGATGGGCCACCAGCAAAGACAAAGGTCTACCGTATAGCCTTAACAGACTGCTGGGACAAGTGCTGTTAGCGAGTAGCAACTAACGATGTCTAGCACCACAATGTCGAGCACCACCTATGATGCGAGGCATCACTGCAGAAGAATCTATTGTTGTACTGTACTATGCTGCCACGTCATTGCTCCCCCCCCCCCCCACCGCCAACCCCCAGCACTGACGAGTGTGGTGAAGTATGGTCAAATAACCCCCCCCCCTCCCATTACCCACAAGGCATGGGGAAATACTCATCCAGCTGTGGATCGGTTAAACGAGCTGCACGGAGCGTGCATGTGTCATATTGGCGGTAGATTTTGTTGCGGGAAACATTTTTAGGTCTACAAATTGTTCGTAAATTTCCCTGCGGAATTGAATATTGCGAACAGCTTGAGGCGTAATCATGCAGCAACTGAGAGCACAATCCCCGGACAGAACCTGACTCAACACATTCGTGTCCATAACACTGCGAGAACGCGTGCGTGCGTGTGACCTTACATAACAAGTGGGACAATCGGCGACGCTTCGGGCAATGACCTTCCTCTCGGCACGTGGAGAGGCGAGAGAGGTGCGCATTGAGAGACAAGGCAGGGCCATCTCCTAGTCACTCTCTCTGCGCGCTGTGACGAAGGACCCGTTTGCCCCGAAACGTCAGCTGATTATACACATGCTGTACTTTTATTTTAAATTTTAGTTTTTTTTTATTTCCATTTGCGTGACTTTACCGAAAGAACCACCAAAGAATATGAATTCCTGCAGTCACGAAAGTTTTAAGTCTATTTATTTTTTTTAAATGCTCCGTTTAAGGCCACGGCGTTACCGAGGAATGCGTGCGGAGTTCGCGTTGCCGATATTTGCGCGCCACTGCCAGCGCAGTGTCGCAGCACGGCGTGATCTTGTTTTAATTAAAAAATGTTTTGCTTTTGTGCAATTGTACTCCAATCGCTGGCGCCAGGGCACAAAGGGGTGCTGGGTGCAGCCCCTGCAATTGCTCGCGCATGGCACTGCTAGCGGAAGGGGTCCTGACTGGAGAGAGAGAGAGACTCCCTCTAAATAGAAGTGGTTCTTAACCTTCACTGCAGCCTTGCATCCATTTGGTTCTCAATCATGGAAACATTTACAATATTAATTTAAAAAAACATAGGGTTTGATCAAACAAAGTAATCTACATCGTTAGACAACCTTTGCCAGTACCAAAATATAATAATAGGATTTTCCCCCTTTTTTCTGGCAACAAAACTGAAACCTTTTTTTTACAAGGATTCATGTCTGCATTAACCACAATACTTGCAGTCAAATGAAAAAAAAACACTCTATGATAATATATACAAAGGACAATGCATATATTATCAGTGTTTTTTGTTTGCATTTTGACTGCAAGTATTGTGGTTAATGCAGACATGAATCCTCGTAAAGAAGGTTTCAGTTTTGTTTCCAGAAAAAAGGGGGAAAAATTATTATTAAAACAAAGTAAGTTGTATTCACGCACCCCGTGCTTAATTTGCGTTTAAATTATTTACCTTCTAACAACAAAAAAATCTTGCAATGTCCGCACCCCGAGAAAGGGCATCTCGCACCCCAGGTTAAGAACCACTGCTCTAGAATGTTAATTGCCTGCTCTTCCTATGTGGGACAGACTTGTTGGGACGATTTGGGAGTACCCACAACTTTAGCCCACTGCCAAACGCGACCTACCGATCAGATCCGCGCCGTACACATTCATGCTACTACTGCTGGGTGGATAGAGCCGGGGGTGGGTGGCGGGTTTAATAAGCTTGCCCCATTCCGACTTAAAACTTTCGTGACTGCAAGAATTCATATTCTTTGGTTCTTTCGGTAAAGTCACGTAGGTAGAAAAAATAAAAGTTAATAAAATAAATGTATATATTTTATCTACGTGACTTTACCGAAAGAACCACAAAATATTTCCCCATTCCTTTAACTTGGCGATGGAATCGAACCCGCGACCTCTGGGGTGGTGGTGAATTCCACTGTGGCAACCACCACACTGATCCGTGGTTGCACTGACCCCGTGGGATGCGACGCAGCCAATCAAAGCGGAACTCCCGCGGAAGTAAGCAGCGCATCTCCTCCATTGTGGTAGAGATCGACCTGCGGAAGATGAGATCACAGAACTACTTCTGAGATCTCTGCCCAGTGGGCCTTCGTTACACACTCGTGAGGCGCGGCACGTTCGTTCCCACGCGTGCCGCTGCGAATAAATTCTCTCAGCACGAAAAGTAAAAAAAACGCCATTTATCTTCTTGGTTCTTTCGGTAAAGTCACGTAGAAGGGAAATAATAAAATAAGAAAAATAAAACATTATAAAATAATTCTCACGACGTTTCGGCCACAACGCAAGCAGCCGTCCTTCAGACACTGTCTTTCCGACAGACCTGTTCTTCACCTGAGGACGGGCTTGCGTTGTGGCCGAAACGTCGTGAGAATGTATTTGATTATGTTTTATTTTTATTATTTTATATTTCCCTTCTACGTGATTTTACCGAAAGAACCAAGAAGATGAATCCCTGCAGTCACGAAAGCTTTAAATCGAAAAGACATTTAATTTGATTCAATTCTCAGCGCTGGATTTTTTTTTTCCCAAGTGACAAAAATGTATCGAAATATTTAACGTTGTGTGTGTGGTTTGGTGTGTCAGCGTGTGTGTGTGTGGTAGTGTGGCGGTTAGTGTGCTACGCTACGAAACTGGCCACCCGAGTTCGATTTCTGCTCACGGCCAAAATTAGTGACGATTATCTGAACCGGTCCTGGGCCTCCCTTAGGTCGATTCAGCCTCCAATGAGTACCTGGTGCGGTATGTAAACATCGCCACTAAGGAGACAAAGGCGGTTGGGCGTGGTGCTGGCCACCCACCCCCTCATGTGTCATTTTGGCCTTCATAAGTGCTCGCTAACAGCACTTGCCCCAACAGTCTGTTACAGGCTATGCGGCTTATCTTGTATTATATTTTTTATTTTACCAGGTAAGGCCCACTGAGCTATACAGCTTCTTTTCAGCCGGGGCCATGGCAATCACAAATGCTAGCTCGACGAAATTGTTTCATCGCGGCAAAATACTTCCGAACGCGTGGATGTTGATTCCAAATGTTGGAGGGAGAAACGTGGAGGGCCGCGGAGAAAGATCCACGGACCGCGGGGAGAGAGACACGCAAACTCCAAATATACAGCAGCAGGCGGTCAGGGTCGCGATCCAACCCACGACCTCCTGTATACCAGGCGAGGTAGTTGACATCTCCTAGCCACCGTGATGATGAGAGAGAGAGACACGCAAACTCCAAATACACAGCAGGCGTCAGGGTAGGGATCGAACCCACGACCTCCTGCACACCAGACGAGGTAGTCAACATCTCCTAGCCACCGTGATTGATGAGAGAGAGAGAGAGACACGCAAACTCCAAATACAGCAGGCGTCAGGGTAGGTATCGAACCCACACCTCCTGCACACCAGGCGAGGTAGTTAACATCTCCTAGCCACCGTGATGAGAGAGAGAGAGACACGCAAACTCCAAATACACAGCAGGCGTCAGGGTAGGGATCGAACCCACGACCTCCTGCACACCAGCGAGGTAGTACCATCTCCTAGCCACCGTGATGATGAGAGAGAGAGAGACACGCAAACTCCAAATACACAGCAGGCGTCAGGGTAGGGATCGAACCCACAACCTCCTGCACACCAGGCAAGGTAGTTAACATCTCCTAGCCACCGTGATGATGATGAGAGAGAGAGACACGCAAACTCCAAATATACAGCAGCAGGCGGTCAGTGTGGGATATCGAACCCACGACCCTCCTTGCACACCGGGCGAGGTAGTTAAATCTCCTAGCCACCGTGATGATGATGAGAGAGAGAGAGAGACACGCAAACTCCAAATACACAGCAGGCGTCAGGGTAGGGATCGAACCCACGACCTCCTGCACACCAGGCGAGGTAGTTAACGTCTCCTAGCCACCGTGATGATGATGAGAGAGAGAGACACGCAAACTCCAAATATACAGCAGCAGGCGGTCAGGGTTGGGATATCGAACCCACAACCCTCCTGCACACCGGGCGAGGTAGTTAACATCTCCTAGCCACCGTGGCGCCCGAGAAATGACCTTCAGCATCCGTTCCCCAAAGACATCGCTACAGTGCGCGTGTATATACCAAAAGATGTGGGGAGCGGTGGCGCTACTCTGCGCTTCGAACCCGGCGACCAGAGTTAGATTCCCGCTCACGGCCAACACCGGTGGCGATGATCTGAAACGGTCCAGAGGCTCCCCTAGGTCGACTCAGCCTCAAATAAGAATCTGGTGCGGTGTGTAAACATCGCCTCGAGGGAGACAAAGGCGGCCGGGCGTGGTGATTGCCACGCACCCCACCGTGTGCCGTGTCGGCATTGATAGGTGCTACTCGTCAACGGCACTTGTCCCCAACGGCCTGTTACGGCGATACGCGGGATCTTTGTCTTCATATATATAATTAATTAGACAAATGCCACCCAATTAAAGATTCATCAACTCGGCGTTGCCATCTCCGAGTTGACCCAAAGGGCCCCCCACTGCAACACAGGGTGGGGGCGCGAGAAAGCGGTGAGGAATTGAACTGCCACGGAGACTGCGGCTCTGCGTGTGCAGCTGATGACGATGATGATCACGATGTGGTTGGTGACGATGATGATGATGCAATGAATGTGGATGATGACGATGCAGTCAACGTGGTTAGTGACGATGATGATGTAATGAATGTGGATGATGACGATATAGTCAAAGTGGTTGATGAGATGATGATGCAATGAATGTGGATGATGATGATATAGTAAAAGTGGTGTGATGATGATGCAATGAATGTGGGATGACGATACAGTCAACGTGGTTGGTGACGATGATGATGATGTAATGAATGTGGATGATGACGATGATATAGTCAAAGTGGTTGATGATGATGATGATGCAATGAATGTGGATGATGATGATGATATAGTAAAGTGGTTGATGATGTGATGCAATGAATGTGGATGATGACGATGATATCGTCACAGTGGTGATGATGTCGATGATGATGCAAATGTGGATGATGACGATGATATAGTAAAGTGGTTGATGATGATGATGATGCAATGATTGTGGATGATGACGATGATGATATAATCAACATGGGACTATGATGCTTACACCGGCTGATGATGATGAGATTGTGGTGG